ATTATAAGGGGGTTATAACCCGTTGTACCTCCCGTATAACCTCCCGTATAACCCAACTGTAACCTTATAATCTCAATAGATAAAATAAAAGTGTGGGTTACAGCTGAGTTATACAAAATTTAACTCCCATGTAAGTCGCATATAAGGCGGGTTTACCTGTTATTTATTTACACATCTCTGATCTCTGCGTACCCTTACGTACGCGCAATTTTTTTCCCCCGCGAGCGTTTCCTCCTCCCCAAGCTCTCGGTCGAGCCTCAAAGAGCAGCTCGAGCCCCTCATTCTCCTCCTCCTTCCTCTTCGAAAAGTTCGATAGCCCGCCTCCTCCTTCCTCTGTGAGTTGCACGACAGGGAGAACCCGCCGTCTCCTTCCTCTCCCAGCTCTCGATTGAGCTTCCTACAGGCCTCACGAGCTCTCCTTCCTCTTATGCGGTTTGGTTAGGGCACGAATGCCTCTCCCTCCCTCTTCTTCGCTCGGTTAGGGCTGCTCGAGCCTTCATCGTGCAGAAAAATGCCGCAGGAGCTCCCTCCTCCTATCTCTTTGGTTCAATTACAGGTAACCTCCACCTCCTCCTTCTCCCTCTACTGCTTCTCCTTCTTCCTCGTCCTCAAACACTTCTTTCTTCTTCTACCTCACTCTCTCGCTCTCTCATTCTACCCCAGTTTCTCTCGTGCCTGCTGAGTGTGGGTTCGAAATGGGAGGAGACGAGGGGAGCCGCAATTTGACTCTCCCATGAGCGGCGGCTTCTTCGCTCGAACGGCACCTACACAGCAAGTGGGGTTACCTACGATATATATTTATTTGTATTGATTTTTTTTATATTAATTTTTTTAAAATGTTTATTATTACGGTTTTGCTCCGGTGCATATGAGCAGCTGAATTGGTGAATTATATCATATAGGGTCGAAGGTTATGGGAGATATATTCCCCGCTCCCATCAAAACAAAGGTATTTGTTGATGAAAACAGGACCGCCCAACACCTAGTAAAATCAAGAACTGAACCGCCGAATATCTGAAAAAACTAAGAACTGGATTGCCGAACACACTGCTGGTTGAAGGACTGAATTGCAGAACTCC